CCCCCCGGTACGTCTCCCTTCACAGAGAGCATACTGACACTTTTCCCACTTAGCTTGCCCTGGCCTGGGCGTTCCTCCCCGACAAGTCGGACCTTCGAACCGGTCTTATTCTCGTGGGTCTTGGGAGATGTATTGCCATGGTTCGTTCATCTGTCCCTTTTGGGCGCGTATAAACCATACTGACAAAATGCATTTAGGTCCTTATTTGGAACGGCCTAGCTGGCGGCAACGACGAATACTGTGCCATCCTTGTCGCTGTAAACTCGATACTCCAGATAGTCCTCTTCGCCCCAATGGCCGTCTTCTTCATCCGCATTATCAGCCACGAATCCGGTACGATTGATATATCCTATAACGTCGTTGCTATAAGTGTGGCTGTTTTCCTGGGCATCCCGCTTGGAGCAGCTGTCATAACGCGGATCATCCTGCGCAAGGTCGCTGGACCTGATTGGTATGAGAGGACCTTTCTCAGATTTCTCGCACCCTGGTCCCTCCTCGGCCTACTCTATACTATTCTGGTTCTATTCGCGTCCCAAGGGAGACAGGTTGTTCACCAGATTGTATCGGTCGTCCGGGTAGCAGTCCCATTGGTGGTGTATTTCGTGCTCATCTTCTTCGTTACTTTGTGGGTCAGCAGATTGCTTGGCTTCCGGTTCTCCATGGTAGTTACCCAGAGCTTTACTGCTGCAAGCAACAACTTTGAGTTAGCTATCGCCGTGGCGGTCGCGACCTTTGGCCCCAACAGCGACCAGGCTCTGGCATCCACCGTCGGTCCGCTCATTGAAGTCCCAGTCTTGGTAGGCTTGGTGTATGCCGTGCGCTGGATGGCCAACAGATGGGATTGGAAGTAAAGGAGTGAGAGCCAAGCTTTCACCGATCTGCGCCATCGGAGACATGGTCTGTATGCTTCTATGGACTTTAATAAATAGATCATCTAGTGACGCCCAGGGTTCTCAACGTAAAGTCTAGGAATTGAATAATAATAATAGTTTGCTTTCAGCAGTCTATAAATTAGAAAGAATCCACCTTGACATCGACATGCGTCTAGTGAATGTGATCCATGAGTTGAAAGATCTTGGTGTTCTTGACAGAGCAGCTGTTATCCCCATGACACCCCAGTGCGGAACGAGCCCACGATGGGTCTGTCTGGCTGTGAAATTCGACAAGTATTTCTGCAGCTTTGTCGCACGATGTTTCCAGAGGCTCAGATCGGTTGCCAGAATGGACGATGGAATTTGATGAATCGAAAGAGTCAGAGAGCGGCGAGAGCACGTCTGTTGGCGCTGAGGAACTGGAAGCTGCTGTATTGCCAGCCCCGTCCGTCTCACGTATTTCGTGATGAGATGTTGGCTCCTCTTCACGAAGCAACAAGACTTCTCCGTCATCCTCCCGAGGCTGTATCAGTTCCAAAAGTGGCTCGGTAGATGATGGCTGATTTCGGCCAGCTGTCGGGACAATTAGATTTGACACCATTGGCACCGCGTCTTCATTCATGCTTGGTGCTGGCCACGATGAGCCCTGAAGCGTATCGTCCGTCGGCATGGCACTCTTTTTGGTTGTCCCAAGTAATAAACGTCCACAACTATTGCACCGATATCCTGCATTTAATGCCCGATGGTGTTCCTCCGGGGAGGACAGGTATCGTTCAATTTCACAGTCCGAGACCCCGTAGACGCCAAGCAAGTCCTTCAGGCGTTGGTTCTGGACGCTGACGGCCTGGGCAACGCGTTGCATCTCAATAGAGGCCTCCACGCCCATCCGCTCGTATTCCTCAAGCCGACTCTGCAGATCCGCAATCAGCTCTTGCCGCCGAGCTCTGGACCTGCGCTGAGCATCGCGATTTTCTGCAACAGTGGCAGCGGTTTTATGCTGCAGGAAAAATGGTGAGTGGGCATCATCGGTGATGACTTGTGCAGCATACCTTCCGGGGCATCTTTGCCTTAGATGTCGAGTTTAGACGTGCGAGTTCGTGTGGACAGGAGAAATGATAGTCCAGACTAGATCGTAGAAGACCAATCAATCAATGGTGAGATGTTGACGTGTGGGTGAGATTAATCGTAGCTGCAAGGGTACGGACACTGCACTGACTGGTACGGTGAGTTGAGGAGAATGAATGAACAACCCCCAGCCAGAGCCAGGTCGAAAGACGTGGTGGGTGGGCTTGATTGTTGTGGCGAGTGAATAGCTTGTGGCTTGATGGAAAAATTCATGATGTAAGGGTCACCCAAAGTAGACTAATCTTTCATCCGCCTAATCTACTATAGGTATTTTTTGCAACACTCGTCTCTCCCTCTATGTTAACTTCGATTTGAAGCTCGCATTATCCAATGTGCACACTGTAGATAGCGCTGACTAGCCCAGCCAAGATTCACCGGGAGTTTCTGTTCAGTTCTACATCACCTATACCACCAGGCAGCCTGCGTGTTTGGGATGCTGAGTCTCTGTGACGCAAGTTTATCCACAGCGCTGCTAGAAATCCGCTTGCAATGACATATGCTAAACCTGCAAATACCTGAGGGTAGACATACGTTCTCGGGGCTGGCAACCCTTGGAGCATTAAAGCTATGACTTCGGCAGCTGGAAACTCAAGGTTAGTTTACATCACGTTTTAGGCGCCGTGACACTGCCCACCACTTACATGCAGCAGGGAGGATTGTGGCAGCCCAAGCGAGGGAGAGCGTTGCTTGGAGATTCTGGATACCCGCGACTTCAGCTGACAAGGGACCGATGGTCTGTGCGACGCTATTAGTAAATCTCTCGGCTCTCAAGATCCAGAGCAAACGTGAAGAGAAATATGCTCACCATTCAGAAGACTCCCAAGATTGCCCCGCAAAGAATGGAAAAGAACAGTGTCAGGCCAAATGACGTGGCGGGTAACCAGAGGACAAAACAAATAAGACCGCAGAGAAGCGTGAGCACGCAGGCAGTAGCAACCCGAGAGAAACGATCGCTCACCAGGCCAATGAGGGGGCGTCCAATCGCGGTCCCCACGTTCAAAAAGCCAACAATGTCGGTGGCCTGCTTACGGGATAGCCCTATGGCGAGCGCAAACTCGGACAGCGAAAACAGCAGGACAACGTACCCGAACATGGTGGTGAAAGCCCACATCAAAAGCAAGGCAACCGCTCTGGACCGAAGAAGGGCGATGTCAAAGGCCCGCTGGTTCGGCTGGATCTGAGAGTTCCTGTGTCGAAGCAAAAGAGTTGCTATCACGATGCCCACCAAGGTAATGATGCCAGTCGCGCGAAGTGCCCAGTCCAACCCCTGAAGTTTGATCATGGCAGCTGTTCCCCAGGTAAAGGCTGCTCCTCCGACGCCGGAGCCGGCAGAGCTGATGCCGTTGGCCATGCTCCGCCGCTTCGAAAACCACTGCGACAGGACGGCCGTGCTAGGGACGATGACGAAGCCGATCCCGCTCCCAACAAGAGCCCCCTGAGTAAGATACAGATGCCATGCTCTGGAGGCAAAGGGAGCAGTTACGTAACCAATGCTTTGTAAGGAGCACCCAAGCAGCACAACAGCCTTTAAAGGATATCGGCCGGCGAGGTGGGTCGCTAGCGGAGCAAGGAGCATAGCACAACTGAAGTTCAGCCCGCCGACAAGCCCGTATTCCAACGGCTTAGCATTAGCGAATCTTTCGGAAGAGACGTATTCTGTTAGGTAGACACCAAAGGACTGCATAACCGATTAGACCATATGAGACTTGGGAATAAAAAGCACTCACTGCTGTTACACCCCATGTAAGAGCATTCAGGATAAAGCACGAGCCCACGACGACCCAGCCATATCCTCCATCAGGAGAAAGCAAGACATCATCATCAGCTTGACCGGATTCGTGCATTGCAGTATACGATTGACTCATATCTAGAAAATACAAAACGCAACTTCTACCCGCTTGCTGTCGCTTACCTTTGTTCGCAGGCACACCGGCCTTTTATGCTTCCAAGGGACGGAAGACAATGACGCCCATGTGAGACAGGCTCTACCATCAGATTGCCCAGAACTTTGGCAACAGGACACACGATCTTCGCCAATAGATGAAAAGTAACACATACAGGTACGACTAAGCAAATGGTGACAGATCGGAAAAATACCGAATCTGTCCTAGCTGGCTCCGCACACTACCACCTGCACAATGGATCAGCGACCCCCGCACAGTGCAGTCCTTCTCCCCAAGAGAAGGTAAATGGCGTATAGAAACCTGTGATTCCAAGCAAGAAACCTCGGGATCTTTTCAAATGGCGAGGGAAGGATGACCAGGAGAAGCTTCAATCGCAACCAGAGTAAAAAAGGGGACTCGAATCACCTCAGATGCTAAAGCCTAGGTTGTGATCAGAGCCCGGTGACTCTTGTCATCACGCGCGGGTCGTATGGTTAACGCAGCGACTACAGTTTACACATCAAAGGCTGCAGGTCTGAAGAGATTACTAATTGTAACGGAGTTACAAGCAGGCCAATTTCGCAATATTATTATCCTCAATGAAGTGAGACCTGTCCTTGACAACGAGATACAGAGGATATTCTGCGATGTTCATTCGGCTGTGTCAGGGAGTGTTTTGATATGTTGGCCATGGCCCGTTTCAAACTGGACCAACAAACACCTCACTTTCTAAACTTGCCGCCACGATGTACGAGCCCATGACACAGAGGAGCACTCAGCTCGGCTAATAAATGAATTGGGAGTTTCTCAATTCCTACTCATCGCTCTATCTGTATGCCTACCAGGATATGCTTTCCGACTGCGCTTCTTGTGCACTTCGTCAACTCGGACTCTAAGCGCCGACCTTGGTTGACCGCCTGCCGTATCATTGTTCCAAAATACTCTTTTCCCGACGATGCTTGCGTAGTTTGTAACCCTATTAGTTGTTTTAGAATTGGACACTTGTGATGAACTGTAGAGCCTCAGACCTTTAAGCCGATAGTCTCGAAGTTACAAGTGGCGTCAGTCGCATTGGAAAGCCACAGGTATTTATCGTGACTAATCGCGGTTTTCCGACACCATTGAATTGCTTTCCTTCTTTTCTTCCGATGGCGATCCTAAGAAGCGATTCAGTGGGCTTTTGTGTTTCCTTTCATCCTTGTGCGCATTGACGGGCGGTCCTGGTGGAAGGAATGGAACATTTAGAAGGACGGCAAGAATACTCTCAATTAAAGTCATCGTCGTTTTGGTTGAAATTTATTGGTATGTTTTGTGAGAGTGAGGTCTGGAGCTAATGGCTGTTGATCACCGGAAATTCTTCATCAAAGATATCGACTGATTGGTAGGCAGCAATTATCTAGACTCTCAACCAACATCTACGTTAGGATTTAGTGACGTTAGTTCATGCTGTTGGTCCGTCTCTTTCACCCTTTGACAGCGCCATTCATTGGTCTGTCAAGGGGTCTTGAGGGGCACAGTCCGGTCTAGATTGCTTCTATGAGGCCACAATGCCTACCCGGTATGGTTGAGACTCTAGGCATCCTTAAACTAATTTCTACCACGGTACTAGGCATAAAATCATAAGAGGCTTTTTATCATAATTTTAGGTACAAGTCTTTATCTTCATTCAAACATGAAGAGCTTCGACTTCATATTTCCTGAGACGTATCACGAAATGGGAACTCGAGGCTAAATAGGCTCATGAAGTTGGTGCTATCCAATCTCAACCTAATTTTATATTCGGGTAATGAGAGAAATCTCGTCCCAGGTCCAATGAGTGGCGTCATTGTGCCAAACTCTCCATAATGTTAGATGATGCCCCTTGGAAACACGCAGTCGGTATGTATCCTCTTTTATCCCATACACAACCAATCTCTACCGAGCATCCTTATTCTCGGTCTTACCTCACGAAACAACCTCCATTCACAAGCTCACAGGTCGGCAGAGGGAGTTGAAGCAATCGCAGGATTGTATCCTTGAGATATATTCCTCAGCTACTGAAATAATCCCCGGAGCTCTTCTTGCTAGAGCCGTTTAAATGGTTGACTATTTTTTACATCATCTGATAATATTATCTAATAATTTTGAACATAAAACAAGGGCCTCCCCCAAAAGCAGCTCTCCTGAAGCTACCCACTTCCACCAGACCGATAAATTCTTATACTATTTGCACCAATTAGCTGTCTTAGGAAGCAAAGGGAATACCAGAGAGGGACTGCATTATTACACTGGACTTGCTCAAGTGTTTTCGGAACCTATCCTTTCCGAACTCGGTAGTGGGACGGGACCTACTTGTGGTCAGTGCGTGCTATATACGAACTGTTGGCTCTTTTGAGAGTGTTGTTGGATGAAAACTATTATAGATCTTTTGGAACCATGCTAAGCTGCCTACTTGGGATGAACTGACATATTCCAGGCTGTTTGATATTGGTTTCGGCTTACCCTTGTCTTGGGGACCCTGGAAACTACGTCAAACGTTAACGTGGGAGTACTTAATGCCGAAGGAATAATGGGGCATAATCCTGTTTCAGAGTACATGATTAGTCCAACTTCATCAAGACGGGCCCTGCCGACACGTCCCAGGGTCCATTATTTACCCGGGAAGTTACTGACTCGGATATCCCTGCTAATAGCATGTTTGAGACTTGACATCTCTGTTGACCCCGTGATGCTTGCGGGGTTGGCTGAAAAGGATGAGACGTGCCTTATAGCAAATCGCTTAATTGGAAGCTGACATCTAGTTTGCAAGGGCTGCTGAAATAAAGTTTAAGCTTATAAAACACACGGTTCAAGAAGGTGGAGTTGTTAGTCACTTGTCTCATAGCTCGGTCATGCCGATGAGTTTACGGCATTAGAGAAGATGAGGAAACGGGGATACCATCGAAAAACACAGAGAAATGAAGAGAAGAAAAGACTATAAAGTATCGAGGTTTCCCGAGTTATCCTTTCTTCAATCAACTCAACAACTCAGTTCGCTTCCTCATAATCTGCTGCGCAGTTTCATCCCTTACAACTTGATCTCTTTCTTCAAAGCTCTTTGCTTCAACTTTACAATTTTCACCAAGTCCGTGACTTACACACCATTTAACCTTTTCAAAATGCCCTCTCTCACCAAAGTCGTCGCTGCCGTTGCCGCATGCTCCGCCATTGTCAATGGCGCAGTTATCCCAGCCGAGAACGGCCTTCACACCACCACGCTCCAGACCCGAGACACAGCCAAGGGCACTGGTCATATTCTCAGCAAGCGAGAGCCTGTCACCATTGCTATTCTGACCGCGGCTGGTACCGCGGCAGTTAGTGCCATCGTCAGCGAGGCCGTCAGCGCTGCCGCCGCTTTTATCGGGGACATTTCCAACTTTGACGCTGGCCGTGAAGCCTTCACCGTTCAAACAACCGAGACCATGATGGCTAATAACCCCGACCCCGAACGTTTCCAGGCCGCTGCCTGCTATAACAAAGCCTTCTCGGTTGCTGATCCTGCCAACATTGACGGACAGTCCTCCGTTGAGTTCAGACTTGGAATCCTCAACACCGATTATGAGTGCATGTACATTGCTGCACCTAACCAGTTCTTTACTGAGGGCGATGGAGGTCTCATCAACGTAAGTCATAATTGAGTCACATATCGAAGTTCATGCCCATTTTGACTAACTCTAAATATAGCTCTCCTTTACCCATACCGATCGATGCACTTTTGATCAAGAAACAGCTGATCTCACTTGTGTTTAAGTGAAAAGCACGAGAAATTATCCTTTTTAGAAAAGCTTTGCTAAAGCTAGGAGATATTGGTCAAGCACCGGTTAGAGATGCAGTAGTCTAGTCTTTACATCACATCTCATACAATATTACTAAAGAAGCTCATAATGATCCCCAATAGCCTAAAGACCTAGCGGAAACAGACCTGAAGTGAAAATATTAGGATACCATGTTACGATCACCTAAACAAGAGGTGCTGGTGTTAAAGACACGAGGCACCTTTGCTGCTTATAAGGCGGATAGTAGACTACTTTATCTTAACTTTATCTTTATGAATACCCGAGGATCTGACCTAACGGAAGCCCCACTCAGAGAGTGGGCAGCAAAATTCTGGGATAGTGATAAAAATCTGGGATAGCTGATAGGTGAGAAATAGGTGGGAAAAACGGGAAATCTCTGGCTATACCTTTTAATTTTATTATAATTAATTTGAAATTACTATAGTTAGTTAATTAAAGTATATTGAAGTTATTGCTAAATGCATTTTATTATATAAGGCATATTTATCGTGGTGCTGCAGCCAGATATATGCAGATTAAATCACAGGGCCGTTTGGCCATGTTTCCCTGCCCTATAATGCCTTTACTTCTAATCCTGCCTCTAACCTAATAGGGAAAGGGATAATAATCTCTTATTGCGTATGCTATTAGGGGTGTAATATATTTATGATTCTGTGATATATAGAGGAATAATTAGTCTTAAAGGAAGGCAGTGGCGTTGGAAGCGGCGGCAGCTTGGGCTCCTTGATATCCTGAGATAGATTAACGAAAACAGGGGCTTCTTCATCGTTTTCCGAGTTATTAGAATCTCTAAAAGTGAGGCTATTATGAACTAGACCTTACTATAGATTGCTGAGTATAATCTTAATATTATCGCTTGAAGGAGTAGTAGGTATATCCTGAAGAGGACTTTGATAAAAGCCAGCAGCGGTGGCATCACGAAGTTGCTTATAGAAGTGCTTCTGTTGTGCTAAACCGCCTATATTATAGAAAAAGCCTTTTTTAGGAGTTAGTAATGCTTCTTATGATGGAGGAGGAATATAGATAATCTTATTAACTATATCTAAGCCCTTTTATTTCTTCTAATAGTTAAAGCTAATATAAATTAGCTTCCTATTATTATTTATATTATACTTATAGTTCTTTTTTTATTCTTCTTTTAAGCGGTTATCTTTTTCTCTTTGTAATTGCTTTAAGTTGTAGTATTAGCGGCATATCTTAGCTTCTTGGTCTTTCTTTGTTGAAGCGGTAAGACTTTCTTGCACCTGCTTAACTGTAACGCTGTTAATATATTGACCAGTTGGTATAACCTTCTTTCTCTTCTTCTTCTTATTATTTACTGAAGTAATTCGCTGTATTCGGGTCTGTATATGCTCTTCTGCGAAGCTATTTAAAACTATAGCCTTACAGATAACATTATCTAATATACTAAAGGAATCTTAAGTAGGTGAACTGAAGCTATTGCGATAATTGCATTTAAGATGACGTGCAACTTCACGAGTATCTTTAAACTGCGTCTCTTTTGGAAGAAGAGATTAAAGAGCAGGGTTTATAACTGTAAGCAGAGACTTCTTCTTCTCTTTAACTTTTTATATAACGGCTATGCCGTTTACTGGGAAAATTCTGCTTTTCTTAAAGCCGTTTATGATGTTATGAGTAGTAAACCCTTCCCTGATTATCTCGTTCAATTTGCTAATTAAATCAGAGCGCTTAAAATTAAGATATCCTTCTTGTATATGCCGCCGCAGGAGCTTTTGGTATGCGTTTTTAAGCAGCTAAAATACTCCAACATCGAGAGGTTATATATAATGTGTTGAATAAGAAGGAAGAATTATAATCTTAATATTAAAGTAAATATAGTAATCTATAAGCTCTAAGGAGGTTTTGCTAGTAAAGCCATTAATAATGAGAAGTTGCCAAATATGCTCCTTTTCAGGCCGTTAAAAATACGGCTCCTTCTAAATAAAGTTAGGCATATTAATATCTCTTATAAACTTATTATAGCCAAACTAATTAGTAAATATAATGCCTTTAGATTATGCCTTTGCTATGTATTTAAAGGAGTTGCGGTTAAAATGGCATATTTAGTCTATTGAAATCTCTGTGTTAGAAAAGCCGGTCTCTGAGTGTGTAAAGCGAATAGCTTTATCTAGAGCGTTAATATCCTAAGATTCCGTTGGCTAGGTCTTAAACACCATTAATAGAGGTATTATGACTAAAAGTATATCAGAATATATACTAAAGTCTAGAGAATACTAACATCTAGCTGCATTTGCGTATCTAAGTATTGTAGTTGATTTTCTATTATTAAAAGCTATGACTTTATGTTTAGTGTTAAGGATCTTCTTTATGATAACTACCTTAAGCCTCTCGCGAAGGGCGCTAATCTATATGCCGTATTTATTAGCGTTAAAAAGCTGTGATGCCTTAATATTATGATCTTTTATAACTATACTAAGGTTAGTATAAAATTACTATAAATCCTTAATATCTCTAGCTTTAAATCCTGCCCTTTCTTGGTTAAATGCTTAAACTAACTTCTTCTTTTGTAGCTGTAGATTATCTTAAAGAAATCTCCTATACTATCTATCGCCAACTGGCCCTACTGGAGGCGTTCGTGATACCCTCAACTCATTAGCTGCTTATTCAATAAGCAGCTGATTACAGGGAAATCCTACTCTTTCAAGCCATATGATATATGCGGTTATAGCGCGTTCCTCTGACTTATTGAGATTTCTTGGCTGCCTGCGGCTATTATCACTGAAATCTGGTTTTCCATATAACTTCATTGACTTTAAATGACGGCTAATAGCGCTCTTGGAAGCTTTAAATCTATCTGCAGCTTCTCTTATGCTAAGAGGCTTCCCTTCTTTGGTGTTGCAGTGGCAGCTTTGAGAGAGTAAAATCGCTTAAGCTGCGGCAACAGCAGGGTTAAGATAACAAAGATTTTCTATTTTGGAGGTCTAGGAAAAAAGCATATTTTAAATATAAGATAAGATGAGATAATACTTGGAAATATCTGCTAAAAGTTGGGTTTTTGGTGGTGAAATCCTATAAATTTGGATGAAGCGGGGTATCCGGCTGTCCTAGATTTTTATCACTGTCCCAGAATTTTACCGCCCACTCTCTAAGTGGGGCTTCCGTTAGGTCAGATCCTCGGGTAGTTGTAACGGTTAGGGTCTAACTATGTTAAACTAAGCCGTGCTAGGTTTATTGTTGGCAGATTGCATAGGGCGTGATACTAAGCTTATTGGAGTGTTATATCTCTTAATAGTAGATTTAATATATATTAGGCTTAATTAATATAAAGAAGTTTTATTAATAGCTAGTAAGCTAAGTTCTATCTAATACTAAATAAATATATATATACTTAATTATAAGGGTACTTAGTAGTACTTCCGTTAAGGACTAAGATATTATCCTTTTGGTCCTAGACTATTATTATAATACTTTGGTCTTATTATAACTAATTAAAGTAAATAGACCGAGAAGGATCTATTTAGTCTAGTTATAATTAGTAAGATTTATAGGGAAATTTATAGGGTATATATAATATAACCGCGAGGATTATAATATAATCTCTCCCCTCTCTTAGGTCTTATCCCTAAGACTATACTTACTTGCTATTTCCGTTAATTTATACTTATAAGTACCAACTTAGACTTATTTTTATTTGCATATATCTTACTAATTATTATATTAGGTCAGGTTTCTAAGAAGAAATATATAAAAACTTCTAAGTCTAGTGCTCTTATGCAGTATATCTATGATTTTGGCGATTTTATTATGCCGTATTCCTATTACTTCTATCGTAATCTTATATATAAGGCTATTAATAAATAATCCTATTGTTATAGTAATTATATAGATGTGAAAGTAATTTGTAATAGTTCTGGTGTTACTTCTTTTTATAAGTCTTTTTCTTGCCTTATTAGTTCTTATGCTAATTTTAGTAGTTTTAAAAAATATAAGAGAGTATAAAAAGTTAGAAGAAGATAAATAAAAAGCTGAAGAGGCTCTTAAAGAGGCTATGGCGTATCTTACTTATATTTATAAGATAAAGTATTATCTTAAGGAGTAGGGTAATAAGTTGTTTTCTTATGGAATGTAATCCTTAGAAGAGCAGGGTAGTTTTTCTATTAATTAGGCGGAGTTATTGATTATTTCTAAAGCTTAATCTTATGGTGCTGTAGATTTAATTAACTGGAATTCTATTTTGGTAGATATTCTTTTTATTAATCCTACTATTTCTAATAGAACTTCTTTAGGAGTTATTAGGCATTAACGAGGTATTTTAGTAGTTCTTATATATTTTTATTTTCTAGGTAGTCTTTCTATTTTATTAAGTATTCTCTTTGACTATTAACCTTATATATATCTCTGATAGCTTCTGCTTTATAGACTTCTAGTCCTAAGATTTCTTATGGTTTATTGCCTATTTTGACTTATATTATATCTACTGCTAATTTAAGTAATAAGATATAAAAGATCAGATAGAGTCTAACTCTTAGTAGTAGATCTAGTTTATAGTTATTTTCTAAGATTTTTTATAGTATTTTATAGGGTCTGATGAATTTATAGTCTAATTTGTGTATTAGTTGGTCTATTTTAATGTTTTTTATGGCTAGGTAGACTATATCTCCCTCTGAAAAGGTTAGTCCCTTTAACTATTTTAGGTCATAGTAGTTTTTTATATATTTTCTAATAAATTTAAGTTCTATTTTTATTTCTTTATATAGGTTTTTAAGGTTATTACTTTTAATTATAGCGGCTAGGTTAATTAATTTCTCTTATTATGCATTATAGTATATATTTAATATAAATCCGAAGTTAGCATAAGCTAGTATAAGCTTTATGCTTTTATTATATGTAGTATTATAAGCAAGTTAGGCTATTAGTAGCTTTTTAACCTAATTATTTTATTTATAGTTAATATAATACCATAGATACTATTTAAGTACTTAATTTATTTGTTTAGTTTATCTGTCGACTTATGGTTAAAATGCTATTATAAGTTAATAGTTTAGTCTAAGTTATATTATAAGTAATTGCCAAAATATTACTGCAAATATAGGTCCTCTGTTAAATAGAATTTCTATAGGTAACCTATATATACTA